AGACAAAAAGAAGGTGTTTGCAAATGTGAGTTTTAGCAGAAATATGGTTGCTGATTTTAAGTTGAAGTTTATTTATTTTGAAATAATATTTTATCCTGTCTGTTTCGATTCATATTTATGTTCAAAAAACGTTTAGTTTTAGTCTGCTCAATAAATCTTTATCCTGCTCGGCCCGCGCCCTAAAGTGTGCTTTGAGTTTTGGCCCCCTGTGCCATTGAGTTTGACACCCCTGTGTTAGACTTTAAGACAAAACTGTGGCTTATTCCTATCATAAATTTTTTTTAATAAAACCTAAAACCACTAATATTTGGTATGAATAAAGAGGGGTTTCACATAAATACTGCACAGAGATAAATGTAAGAATTTACAGTTTTCAGCTGCTTTAGTAAGTTTAGTAAGATTATCACATGTTGTCAAATGTAGTTTACATCTGAGGAATCAGAACCAAGCAATGTATCAATCCCATTGTTTTAGTCAGTGTAGGATAGTACTGAATGTTATGAGCAGTTTACTTTTCCTGACAAACAGAAAAAATACTATTTAACCCTCCTGTTATGTTGCGGGTCAAATTGACCCACGAACATAACTGCTGAGCAGGCATCACCTGAGAAATGACCATAACAGGAGGGTTCCCTCCTGTTATGTTCATTTCTTCATATCAAATATTTGTCTCATTTAAAAGTTGTTTATTCTGAAAGTCATCTTACAACAAACTATATACCTGCATCAATCTCATCCACTGCTGTCTGCATTCTCATGGCAATTTTGCATTTATTATTTTTTCCTGCTCCACCACAGGTTGATTTTCCAACTAATGATGACGACAATAAAAGACTGAACTGCAGAAAATGGGCAGTAATTCTAAGGTGTGGAAATTTTCAACTTCTACACAGTGAGTTTAAGCTTCTGTCTTCCTGCTCAAAACCTGAAAGATGGGATCAGATGCTCACTGTAGCACATCATCATGTGTCACCTCCTTCCCAGTGCCTTTGCCTTTGTAACTGGGCTCTAAAGAACAAGCGAAATATAGTGTCCAGATATAAAGAGATATACACAGGAAACGATTGAGATGTACAAACCACAGCACAGGCTGACTGTAGATATTTGCTCAGCCTTTGATTTTGAATCACTTTCAAGATAAGCACACTGGGCATCACCTGCTATCATGATCTCCAGCTCAGCCAAGGAGAGGTCTGTTGGGTCCATCAGGAACATGTTGACATCTCCCACCATGCACTGCTCCTCTTCTATACTGGGATCTGCCCATCACTACTTATCCAAAATGATGACTGTGCAATCTGGCAAAAAATAAAAAAGTCAAATTAAACAGCTTCTCTTTAAGTAAAAATTGAATGATTTCACTAGTGCATGACCTCAGAAAGAATGATGTCATATTTTCATATCATATCCAGTGATTACCAGTTATTTATAAACACTTTAACCTAACAAATCTGATGGATGATGGTACGAATGTCTGGAAGGAATGATTTGGAAACCATAAGGACAGAACTTGAAAGGAGTGTTGACCTCATAAAGCAAATGTCACTGAATCATATTTCACTTTATCCTGTCATAAGTTGTATTAAATAAGCTTCTGTTATTTAGACAATCTTTTAGCTTATTTATGTAGGCATTGTAAAAATTCTGAACGTTAAAAACTTGTTACTCTAACTTAGAATAAGTTAGCAAAAGTAAAACACGCTGTTTCAGATTTATCTTTCCAGCTACTGCTGTATGATCGGTTCATTGTTTTATTTAGGTAGCTTTCAGAAAAATAAAGGTGACCAGTTATTCACATGAAAAAATCTAAGGCTAAAGGCTAAGCAAGCCTTCAGATTTAAAACAACTGCTTTAGAGGATGAATAAGAGCATGTTCTGTGTGTACATTTACTGCAGAAGAAGTCTTACTGTCAT